ATAGGTTATGGTATAGTCCTGATAGGTTACACTACATTTAGTTTACTTGTCATTAGGAAGACAATCTACACTTGATTAATCAAACCATCATCATGCTTGAATTTTGTATTATCCACTTGATGTGTGCTCTTATTGGATGCATTTATTAATTGGTGAGATAGGTTAGACCTGAAGATTGATGGGTTGTTCTACACTTAGTTTACTTATTGGTTAGGTAGACATCTCATTGCAATGAATTAGATGATTATGCTTACATATACAAATTGTGCCAATGATTGTAGCTATATCTAAATTACAACAAAGTTCTCCCTATTAATGGAAAGCAAGTGGTTAATTGCATGAGCTTGATGATGATTCCAATAAACCTTAAGACTCTCTCTTCATATCTCTTAAACCCCTAGCTCTAACTTAGTTTAATTTACTTGCATTTTACTTAATTGTACACTAGAGTAATCAACTAAACCAATCTCTTTTTCTCTCTTTCTCTTATGGTTATCGCTTGTAAACCAATTGTCGAAGTTTAAATCCAAGCCAAAGGTCTCTTGGGAAGATTTCTACTCGTTATACTTCATTATAGTAGTAGTGGTTTTATAAATATAAATTTGACTCTTCAAAACTTCTTTCAAAACCACATGTTCACACACATTTTGACATTGTGAAGCGACCTCTCACACTTAAAATTTCATCTTTTTGATAAACACAAAGGGGACCAGTCATTATGTGTACCATGATACAAGTTTGAGGTTTTGTGATCAATGGTTAGGTTGGAAGCATATATTATTAGTTAAGATAGGTAGTTGGATTTAAGGATGTGTGTGCCCTGGTAGAAGGAGGGCTCGTAACCACCTTTGTGAGAGATTTGCAAGAGATACTCACTACACGGTTGAGTATGCCTTAGTCTAGTGAGAGTCTTTAGTGTGTATATTTATATTCTTATCAGCTATGTAGCTATTGTACGAGTTAGCTGCGTAGTTTCTTCAAGTTTCTGTTTGGGTTGTCATAGAAAGGACTTGTTGTGGGTTTTAACCCACCATTGTTATATTTTTCAGGTCCTCATTAGTAGCAGGATTAGCAGTGGTTTGTGCAAATCAGAGACTTGGCATCATTACTCTTTTAGTATTATCGACATAGGATTCTATCTTCTAATTAGTTATTTCAGTTTATTAGACATTTATTTATTTTCTGTTATGGGATTTTATTAGGGGTCCATGTGTGAGGATTCTCGAGTTGTATTCTTTTAGAGAATTAATTCTTTGAGGATTTTATTATTTATCGTTGAGGATTAATGGATTTTAATGGATATAATTTATTTATTTATTTATTAGTTTCCCTTCAACAATATTATTTCTTTATTTATCTATCTTTTGTATTCTGTGTTCGATTTAAAATATTAATTGCTTGATATTCTCCTCGGTCTCGTGCACGGACCTAATCAACCTGTGTTCCGAAATCGAGGGTTATCACAAATCATGACCAAACCTCTCATTCCTTAAAGATTTTTAACCCTTAGAGACCTTCTCAGGGTTGTTTCACCTCCCTACCGAGCTTACATTTTTGGTCCTTCTCAACTTTTGCCCTTCAATATCAAAAAAGGGGAGAAAATGATTGAAATAAGGATAGTTTTTATCCTCAAGTCTATTTTGTGGCTTTATGTTATCTGTTTTTGCCTACTGTATCTTTGCATTTGAGGTGATATTACTCCACTATCTTGCTCTTATTTCATCTGAGAGATTTTGACATTAAAGGCAAAAGGGGGAGATTGTTAGTCCCTGCAGTTCCGTGTGTTTGCCCTTTTAATGTCAAATCTAAGCTTTACAAGGCTGTTGAGGTGTTCTCTCTTTACCATTGATGTGCACATTGGCTTATAACATCACACATGGTCATTTCAGTCACTTACCATCTTGTGGTACCCTTTCATAATGATCTAAAATGGTACATTATAGATTTACTTCAGTTCACAGCCTGTTTTCTGATTTCATTGAGGTTCTGTATATGAAAATTGGCTACAAGGTTATTCAGGGGCAATATGGTCATTTCATAGTTGAATTATATCTTATGACATTTGTCCAGCATGCTGAATTGTATTGAACAACTCTGAATTGAGCAGCATTGCTCTTTATATAGTCTCAACAACAGTTATGTGCTGAGAATGACAACTGGTTGTCTCAACGGCAATTTGGTCTTTTTTCTCAAGGCTGTAATATGTGATACGTAGTTGTGGTTCTAGTGTGAGAGTGTATACACTGAGATTACAATTCTTAAGCTCTAAGTTATGGATAAGAATGCTAATATAGCATTGTTGTGAACTGTGTATTTTGTGGTGCATTAGAAGACAAAAGCTGAGGTGGCAAGAGGGTACAGTGGTCCTTTTAAGTGAGGGAATGTTAGCATATTCCCTGGCCAATCATTCACTGTAGGTGCCTAGTGTATTTCCTTATTGGAGTAGGGCTTGAATTAAATTGCTAAGTGTATATATACACACTGTTATAACATTGCAGTTGTTTTTTTTTTTTTTTTTTTTTTAGAAACCCTAAATTGCACCTGCATTATGTGAGACTCAAGAGCTGAATATTGTTCATTCTTCCTGAGATAATAGTAATTGATTTGAGCTAAAAATATACTCAGAATAATGCTTTTAGTGATCACAATGCTATGTTGAAGAATGAGGTTCAATAACTGTCAGATTTCTGGTGCAGAGGTTGGATTGGTGGTTCACTTATGGCTTAAGCTTGGTGTAGTGCTAAGTCAAGGTTGAGACAAGTATATTTTGGCTATTTACATTTACTGAGCACTTGTTCTTAAGATATATATATAGCTAAAAATGATTTTCACAACTCAAACCTGTGATTTGAGTACTTTTATTGGTTTAGCCTTTTAATTTGCATACACTATGGTTATATCTTACTGTACTATGATTGATCTATATGCTAGCAAGATTATATAGTCGATCCAAGGCTGTTGAAGTTGGATTTTGAACAGAACTGTGGTCATCTCTATTTTTGGTCTGACAAAACCCTAGTTCTTCATTTGTTGTTATTGTTTTAGGCATATTGGTACTATATTGCTATACACATGCTACATTCATCATGTTTATCATCTAAGCATGTTTGTATTGAGGATCTAAGGCTGTGGGATTGATCTCAAAATTTAGGGGACATGATTTTCTATTTTTATCCCTCAAACCCTAATTGCTGCAGAATGAGTTCTAGAGGGAGTTGGCTGTTGTTTTGAGATGCACAACCACTCTTATTCTTTATGTATGCTTAAATATTGTTATTATTCATACATTTTATTATATTTGGTGACCTGTGAAAGCTTGCAGGGTCCAAGCAGGGTTGCTTAGGATAGGGGGTGCTATTGAGCACATTGTTGAGCTAGTGTGTATAGAGGCTATGAAAACTAGTGTTTTAACTTATACAATGGGGTATTCGAAGTGTGAGATAGCTGAGTGTTTAACTATTTGCATACAATTAGTGGAACTTTTATTGGCTGAGGCCAAGAACCAAGGTTTTTTCTTATTGAAAGGGTTTTCCTTGTAAACCTTGTGTTATATTATATTTGTTTTATATTGTAATCATCACTATGCTTAAAGAAGAATTTGAAACAGACCAATTCATCCCCCCTTCCTGGTCCAACAATGTCGATCCTCACTCTCTCCAACCACCTCCACCTGTCCATGACCATTGCCTCCTTCGTCTGTCCATGGCCACCACGGCCACCGCTCTCTGTCTCCCACAAAGATTCTTCTTCCCTCACCACAACCTCTACCATTCACGACCGCCACCACTCCCTCTCTTTCCAATCCACCTCCCTCTCTTTATTTTATTTATTTATATTTTTCTTTCTTTGACCTCCAACTCCGGCGATGACAAGAATGATGGAAAGGTGGAAAATCATTCAACAAAAATTTGTTTTTGTTGTAAAGATCAGTGTTTCGAGGGGAATTGTTTGAACGAATAACATATATTTTTTGGGACGTATAGTTGCGATTAGGTTGGTTTGGTGATCGGCGACAATAGATTTTTGGGGTTTTTGTTAGTGAATTTTTTTATTAGGTCTTGCATCTAAAATTTGGGGTCTTGTGATTGGTTTATGCGTATGACTTTTTGATTATGCAAGAAAGTTGCGTTTCCAAGGGTTAGAAAAAGAGAGAAAGAGATTGGGTGTTGTTGCTTGTTGTAACATAACTATCACTTGCATTACAAACGTTTGGTCTGTCTTTCACTTACACTCCAAAACTTACTTTTTAAGTGTGTTAGATACCTTTTTGCATGTAAAATGACATTGCTACCCTTCTAACTATCTGTTGACTTAAAAAAGAGTTAAAATGACTTGAATACCTTTTGACCTTCATTATATAAATTTAAAATTATATATATATATATATATATATATATATATATATATATATATATATATATATATCATCATCATCATCATCATGTATACCAAAAAATATATATTTCTGGAGAAAAGAGTGAGATGAAGAGTTTTGGGGGTAACAAAGTAATAAATGAGGACCATTTGGTTATTTCAGGTTTTTGATATTTTGGATTAAAATAGATTTAAAAAATAGGGATAAAATTGCCATTTTGCACCTTTTTAACGGAAAAAATAACGGAAAAGAAAATTGGGGTCTGAGTGATAGTTAATTTCGAAATATATTTGGGAGTGATATTTGACCAAACTTAAAGGGGTGTATTACTGAAATTAACCCATTATTTTTTATACAAATATAATAAAAATTGATAAAATATTTAATGCAAAGAGAAGATAGGCATCACAGTTTAAAATAAATAGATAAATATTGGTAAAGTATACCTTACCCTAAAAGTTGTTAGAATTAATAAGAGAAAAAATAATAATAATAATAATAATAATAGCTCATTGTCAGAAAAAAAAATAAATAAATAAAATGAATCCAAGACTCAACAAACTGTTTTTTGTCTTTTAGTATGAAACGACATGATGAACAAGAGAGAGATTGGTTATAAATACCAATGGCATCTTCCTTTTTTCCTGCACTCAACTCTTTCTTTCATTTCCTTTCTAGACAGCTTCTTCTCCGAGTTTGGTTCCTTTCAAACCTAGCTAGAGGTGAGTAAATTAATAGTTATTCTTTATTTTCACCATTCTGTGTGGGTATATAAATATATATATGAAAAACACTTGTATGTCTTTGTATCTTCTTCTTTTTTATTATTTATTTTTTGTTATGCCAATAAATAATCTGCGCACTTGCTTTGCCCCCATCAGAATCTAGAGATTATCACCCTCCCAATACTACTAATTTTGCTAATCAACTTCCAATATATATTCATGCACAAACGATATTATATATAGCTATGATCATACTTGTAATATACCAAATTTGATCTTCAGCCAAGAAGCCTAGCTTTCTACTTTTCCTTAAATGTCATAGACACATGCATATACAATATTCACGCACAAACCATATTATTATATATATAGCTTTGACCTGACTTTCTTATGCAAATTAACTTCATTTATGATCATACTTGTAATATACCTTCAAGGTCTCCATGGCAGCACCTGGGCAGGAAATTCCCTTCGGGCCATATCCTCACATTGACAGGAACTTCAATGACAGAAACTATGAGCGCGTAAATCAAATAATATTATACGTCGGCGGATCGGAAGATAATGAATATATTGAGTATAAACAGACGACCGGCAGCATAACCATTACGCAGGGAGCTCAAAAACACATAGTAATTCCAATTTATTTTATTTTTTTTCATACTGCATCTTATTCACATTCATCTTATGTTTATCGTTATCGTTGCAGACCATGCCCGTAGCTAGTGGATACTATGAAAGCGTTGACGCGTCAGGACACAATCTTGGATTCGTAAAAAATCCCGGGGAAACATGTTCGTCTCCTTTTTGTCCATCCCCAGCAGATAATAGCAAGTTGGTTGGATTCTTTGATATAGAATCGATTGGAGCATATTTTCAGAAATAGACCAATAATTAAAATTTGGACATGATCATCCACTTTACCGTAGTAGTATTATTATTATAAATAAAGTAATTTGGATAATGATCATGATATATCCACATTTTAATGATATGGTATTATATATAATCAATAATTAACTCCATTTCCATGGGATCTATGCACTTATATATATACATGGATGCTTTGTGTTGTCCTTTAAACTTGCCCAAAGTGGTTAAGACAACACAAATTTGTTTCCATGTGTGTGATTTCAAGTAATGTTTTTCAAGTTAGTGGGTGTGACAAGTTTGAAAGTGTGCTTCCATTATACATGTGTGTATTTTCTAAAATAATGTGTGTTGTAATAAGATTTGTGTGTCTTATATATGGGTGTACAGTGTCCTCTAATAATACTTGTGTGTTATTCTCTAGTTTTCTTATATATAATTAAGGGAAAATTACATATAAATGGAGTCAAAGTTCCATATTTACTTAGAGACTGAGTCAAAGTTCCATATTTCTCTAAAATGGATTGCTGAGGTGGCACATGGTTTTTTACTGTTTAAAAAATTGTGGTGCCTAAAATGCCCTTCCCTAACAAAAAAGTAGTACCTTCAGTTCAAAAAAGTAGTACCTTCGGAGAAAAAGTAGTACCTTCGCGGGTGTTTAAAAAACATGATACCTGGACGCCAAAAAGTAGTACCTTCAGTTCAAAAAAGTAGTACCTTCGAAAAAAAAGTAGTACCTTCGCGAAAGGGTATTTTAGGCACCACAATTTCTAAACAGTAAAAAACCATGTGTCACCTCAGCAATCCATTTTAAAGAAATATGGAACTTTGACTCAGCCTCTAAGTAAATATGGAACTTTAACTCCATTTATATGTAATTTTCCCTATAATTAATGCATCTTGTTGATACGAAAATTTGACCTGCTGATGAATTCTAGTAAAACTTGCCACATAGATGCAAAAGGTGCGCTGATTACCATATATGCAACCTCATCACCACATGGCACCAAAGATTAAATTAAAAAAATTTTGGTAGGAGAGATTATGGAAATGAAATATGTGTCCAAATATATTGGGAGAGATTTTAGAAGTCGTGCTAGATTGCAACGAACTAGCAAATATGGTATTATATCAAAGTGAGCACATAATAATACATCCTGTTAATTTACATTTTTTGATATATATACATCTATAAAATTATACTACCGACTATATTAAAATTATTAAAAATTTACACTATGGCTCACCCCCACCCAATGCAACGCTTACTACATAGAAGATGTCGAGTTGTTACTACATAGCAACTGTTACCCAATGCTTTGTGGATTGGTTCTAGTTTTATTACGATAAAAGTAAAATTCAGACAGAAGTGCGAATTGAATTTATTCACCCCCTCTAGGTATTTTTCAAAGTACAATTCTACAATCATTCCGCGTAATGCAACTCACAAGAGAGAGTCGTAACAAGTGGGGGAGAGAAAAAGGACAGACCTTGGAAGAATTCAAGATTATTTTTGTCATTAATTTAGTGTGTGAAGATATAAAAATGAAACCTTTTAGTATAATTTTAGAGCGCAAATAGCCGCTCTTAAATAAAAACAGAGCTTTCATTTTCAGCAAGTCCCGTTTTACGTTTTAGTTGATACACGTTTTGAGAAGTTCCAGCGGTGTAATTGAAGGGGGTTACCATTTTGAATGAGAAGAATAAAGGAAGGAATTTCCTAACAAGTAGATTTCTAACTTTGTTTTACAAATATTAACAAAACTGATTTCCGATGGGATCTACTTTTGGACTTTATAGTTTCTTTCATGTTATTCATTCTTAGGCTTTCCTTAAAATGAATACACCTTATTGCAAATATATATATAGACACACGCAGAAACCTTTTCAATTTTTTTTTTTTTTTGGTCACTCAACAAGTAGCCTTAGCTTGAATACATGAATATATCATGTTGCAAAATTAAGAAAAAATAAATAAAGAAACAAACAGATAAAACACACATAAACACAAAAATAACAACTTTTTTTTATTGGTTCACGTCGATCAAAACGGTACCAGATTTCAAAATGAATAGATACTCTCCCATAATCAATTCCATTGAAATGCATTTTTGATACCACCAAATGCTTACTATTTTCCTAAATATGACAATTAATAATGAAACAAACCATTACTACATAAAAATTAAGAACAACAAAACAGGGGACCAAAACATGATGAAACAAATTTTTTAAAAGAAAGGAAAAAACAGTATCAAAATTTTCAATTATTGATTCTGATTTCTTATTCTACATGTGTAACAGAGGAGATTTCTCAAAGCCAAATCCAACGATCCTTGATTCAATCTGGTTTTCTGTGAAATTTGACATGATACAATGTTTCACCATATAATTCCACAGCCATGAACGTAAGAGCGAGCAGAGGGTGGAACATACCATATAATTCTGGGGATGCTACCTCGGAACATTCCCCAAGTCGTTGCATCCAACCAGCCATTGTACCTTAAATCACAATCACATGTGCTTTGTCTTTTCAACCAAAAACAGAAGCCGTTGAGTAAATGTATACAATAGAACCTCGGATTCAGAAGCCAACAAAATCAAAGAAAAAATTCCAACTTAATTTACAAGAATACTTATGAGGGAACAAGTCATTTTCAAGAATATTCTGATGCAGTTCTTTTTTTTGGCTCTCAAAACTGAACCCAATCAAATCAATTGGATCAACCCATCAAAATTCTTACAACTCAACCATCTCCTTCAACAGCTAAAAATAATGAAATCTTAGTGCAGTCATCTATACTTCATCTACGCAATATATGGTTAACGGATTATAATTATATGGAACAGATTAATAAATTAATAAGTAATTATCAGGTGATTTTTTTTATAACCACTAGTTTTAGTATATAAGTGAAGATGATTCATGTAAATATTCCTAAACAGAGTGAATGACAGGCAGCCATGCACATCTTCCTTCATAAATGGAAAAAGAAACTTTCAAAAGTAAGGTACAAATTAGATGACACGATCAATCAATTCAACAACACAGAGTACAACTTCTATAAATAAAGCATAGAACTCCTTAAATTCACAAGCAATACAAACAACTCCACAATTCCTCCTTCAAACATCCCTAAAGCATCCACATTCGCCCTTCTTGGGCACCCATAAATCATATAACTCAACCAACTCCATGACATAGATACCGTATATAAAACTTTCAGAAAGTTATTTACCTTGGTGGATGAAGCTCTGAGATTTTGATTGCAAGTGCAAGCTTCATTGCCAATCTATGACAAGTAAACAATTCTCTCGTTAACACTATAATCACAAACCAATAAACATTAAATCTTAACAATAAACTCTAAATATAACATACTAATTATAACAAAAAAGCAACAATAACTATAGTCTCACCTTTTTATGGACTTGGCTTATTTGGAAAAGCATGATAACAAATGATCTCAAAAATGCTGTCTATCTTCAACTTGGTTAGGGTTGGATGGACCCTGCAGGTACAACAAAAATATGTATGAAGCAATCCTTGAGTGTTGGTGATTTCCGTGGAAAGGGTTATCCAGGCCAATTAATAATACATCAGATTAGAGGAATATATAGAAGCTTGAAAATTATTCTTTAGTTTATTAGATCTACCATGAAAAACAGAATTTATAAAGCCATTTTTAGGTTACTAATCATTAAGAAATTCAAAGGATTCTTAATCTCAAAATTTAGAAAACTTAAGACACAATAGTTGCAATTAGGTTTGACAGTTATCAAACTTGAGAAATTAGAATTGCATCAGTGTTCGGTCCAATAAATGTACAAAAATTACGATAATTTAATATAGCTAAACAAGCCGGAAGAACAACTCAAAACTTCCATTCAGTTTCATTACACAGTTTTTATGATGACATAAAGCTAGCTAGATTACTGAACTATTCTTTGAATGACTCAATGACCATTACAACAACGCAAAATTTTAATGTCTACAGCAACCAAATGATAAAAGAGCTATTCAATTGAATTCTTATACGATAAAACACAAATATAAATAAATAAGTATATACAAAAATTGTCTTGTGGAATGGATGAAATTATATTTCTCAAAGTCCTTTTCAAATCAAAATTATTAAAAATAAGCATATTTTAACCATGCTGTAAATCAGCCCAACAAAAAAAACCGGCACATGGTTAGTAGCCAAGAGCCGTCTCTAGAACAATTTCTAATGCAAGAAATAAATTTCACTTCTCAAACTCAGTTGAGCACTCATTTAGGCAATATTATTTTAGAGTTTGGTAATTTTGAAAAGAGAACAAGACGAAAACTAACAGCCACAGGGACAACAGGAACAACAAGATCGGAAAATTTCAGTTTGCAGTGATGCTGAAGAAAATACCTTTAGACGAACAGCTATACCATCCTAGATTGCCAAAAAAAATTCATATCTTCAACAAAAGGATTGGAATCGTTGAATATATAAGAAATTTACTGGGGTTATGCATTCTCCAAAATGACTTCAATATCACGAAATGGCAGCCTGCTCCTCACATATTTTGTCAACTCCTGTGTATTACACCAATTTCAATTATTAGACAATAAGGCACATGCGAAGGAGAAAATCGTGTTCAAATGGACAGTGAGATGTGACATAGCAATTTCATTTATTAGACAAAATGGTGTGAGTCACAGGGGGATATGAGTTTCATGTCCACAAGCAGCCAGCTGCAGAAGTAGCCCAAATGACCATTGAAACATGACCACCTCTGTGTAACCGGAAAAGTGATTCATATTCCCGAATTAAGTATCATATAAGAAGATACGAGATAAGATTATTCATAAACAAGAGCATTTCATTACCCATTAAGTTCATACAATATACATCTAGCCATTTTTGTCATATATATGCATAAAATGGAGAAAGAATTTGATTTTGTATTATGTCTAGTCAAATATGATGTAAATGTGTACAAAAATAAAACAAAAAAAATGATCAAACATCTCCTATCAAATTTAGTCAAATCAACCTGAACATCTGATGGCATCTGAGAAACACATTGATACATACTCAATGTTAGTCAACTCATTCATCAACTAACATGAACATCTGATGGCATCTTAATTATAAAATCAACCTGTTCATAGATAATAGAATCGCATCTATGCGAGGTCCAGTAAATCTACAAAATAATTAGGTGAAATTAAAAGAAAGTCGAGTGACCATGTCATTAAAATACGGCTTCTAGTTTTTCATCACCAAATGCTGAGAAAAATGAGTTTGTTCAGTTTGCTTTGCATTTATGGCCAGCTTTAGTGACTCTAGATTTGCAAATTTTAATATTTCCTCTTTCTTTAAACGAGATCTCCTCCT